CATCGGGTCAGGTGTTTGCTGCAGCGTCTTGGTCTGGTCCTGAGTCTGCCCCCTGCTCGTGTCGCCTCCTGTCTCACGAGACTCTCCTTTGGCACCACCACCTTGGTCACCCCTCCCTGCCTCGTCTCCGAGGCATGGCCTCTCGTGTCCTTGTCTCTGGTCTTCCCCGGTCCCTCCCTCCCCTTCCTCCGGGGCCTGGCCCCACCTGCGTCCCCTGTGTCAAGGGCTGCAGGCTGCCCCGCTGCCGACGCTTCACATGGATGTGTGGGGCCCAGCTCGCGTCCGTGGACAGGGTCACGAGCGCTACTTCCTGCTGGTGGTTGACGACTACTCGCGTTACACCACAGTCTTCCCCCTGCGCAGCAAGGGTGATGTCACTGAGGTGTTGATCGACTGGATCAGCGCAGCTCGTCTCTAGCTCAGGAGGACCTTCGGCTCGGACTTTCCTGTTCTGCGTCTGCACTCTGACCGAGGCGGAGAGTTCTCTTCTGGCCTTCTGCGAGCCTACTGTCGTGCACTTGGCATCCGCCAAACATTTACGCTTCCTGACTCTCCACAGTAAAATGGGATTGCTGAGCGCCGCATTGGCATGGTCATGGATGTCGCCCGTACGTCCAAGATGCATGCAGCTACCCCCCATTTTCTGTGGCCGTTTGCGGCTCGGTACGCGGCGCATCAGATCAACCTTCACCCCAGGGTCTCCATGCCGGAGACCTCCCCAGCTTTGCTGTGGACGGGGAAGGTAGGCGATGCGTCTGCGTTCCGTGTCTGGGGATCTCGGGCGTTTGCCCGCGACTTGTCTGTGGACAAGCTGTCCCCTTGTGTTGCTCCTTGCGTCTTACTTGGCTTCCCCCCTGACGGGCCAGGGTGGCAGTTCTACCACCCCACCTCTCATCATGTTGTGTCCTCCCAGGACGTCACGTTTGACGAGTCGGTCCCCTACTACCGCCTCTTCCCCTACCGCACTCCTTCTCTCCCCCCGCCACCGCTCTTCCTTGTGCCAGGTCCCCCCCCGGTAGACCCCCTCCCCCCTCGAGGTCCTGCCCCTTCAGATGTGTCCAAGGTAGACGCGGTCGAGCCTGTCGAGGTTACTGGTGACTCTGGTGCTGCTGCGGGTGCTGAGCCTGGGGGTGCTGCGATTGTGGGTGCTGAGCGTGTGGGTGTTACGCCTGGGGGTGCTGAGCCTGAGGGTCCTACGACTGGGGGTGCTGAGCTTGGGGGTGCTTAATCTGGGGGTGCCGAGCCTTGGGGTGCTACGCCTGGGGGTGCTGAGCCTGGGGGTGCTGAGCCTGGGGGTGCTACGCCTGGAGGTGCTGAGCCTGGGGGTCCGGAGCCTGAGGGAGCTGGGCCTGCTGGTGCTGTGCCTGGCGGTTCTCCGGGTGCTTCGTCTCGCTGGGAGCCACTCTCTCCACAGGAGCTGCGTGAGTGGTTTGCCCGGCGCTGGAGGCGAGCTGCTGGAGATGGAGGTGCTGCGGGTACTGGAGGTTCTGTTGCTACTGAGGGAGCTGGTGCCACGGGTCCCGGAGGTGCTCGTACTGGGAGTACTGGAGCTGCTGGGCCTGGGGGTACTTCTAGAGCTGGAGCTGCGGCGGGTGTTGGCGCGGAGGCTACTGCTGTCGGTCCTTGAGGCGGTCCTGCGGGGGGTACCACTGGTGCTGCTGGAGGTACTGGAGCTGGAGCTGCTACTGGTGCTGGTGCTGCCACTAGGGGTGTTTGTGCTGTCCCTGCTGTGTCTGGAGTTGTCGCACGGCCTCGGCCGTTCTTCGTTCCGCTTCTTCAGCAGGTTCTTGGTCTCCAATCTTCTACTGGTCCTCCTCCTCCCTTAGAGTGTCCACAACCTGTCCCGTCACAGTTACAGTTACAGCCGGCCTCCCCACTGCCTGCTCCGTCTCCCTACACTGGTCCTACTGGAGGTCTTTCTGAGCGTCGTGAGCCTGCGTCTCGCCCTGCGTCGCCTGTCCGTGCTGCTCGCACTTGTGGTCGCAGTTCGCGTCAGCGTCCTCCTCCCGTCCCTAGCACGCACCGGATGTCTCTGCGTCCGTCCACTACTCCTCTGCGTGCCCCTTTGCCTTCTCCTCCTGAGTCTTCTCTTCCTGCTCTTGCCGACTTGGAGTCGGACTCTCTTCGTGCTGTCAGTCCTACTGTCACGCGTCTCCTTGCTACTGGCGTCACTAACCCTTCTTTTGAGTCCACTGCTGCGTCTGCCCTAGTTGCTAAGCTCGTCGACTTTGCTGCTCGCTGTCGTCTAGACTACGCTGCTAGTCTTGTCGCTGAGTCTGAGTCTGTCTGTCCTCCGTCCGTCGGGGGTGAGTGTGCCCTTGGCACGGACGTCCTTGAGGACATGCAGGAGGAGCTCCAGTGTCTGGCTGCTGCTTCACCTCATCTCCTGTCCGTACTGCTTACCCCTGAGGGAGACCCGGATGCACTTGACATCCCGACTCCGCGCTCTTACGCGGAGGCCGTAGAGGATCCTTACTTCTCTCAGTGGCAGGCAGCTATGGATGCAGAGATGGCTTCCTGGAAGTCCACAGGCACCTACGTTGACTCGGTTCCCCCACCTGGGGCGAACATCGTCAGTGGCATGTGGATCTTCAGGGTGAAGCGGCTGCCAGGTTCTCCACCTGTCTTCAAGGCGCGGTACGTGGCTCGTGGCTTCAATCAGCGACAGGGAGTTGACTACTTTCAGACCTTCTCTCCCACCCCAAAGATGACCACTCTTTGGGTGCTGCTGCACATAGCCGCTCAGCGCGACTACGAGCTTCACTCTCTTGACTTCAGCACTGCTTTCTTGCAGGGTAGCCTGCACGAGGAGATCTGGCTGCGCCGTCCACCTGGCTGAACTGGGACTTTTCCTCCTGGCACCCAGTGGAGCCTCCGGCGGCCAGTCTACGGTCTCCGCCAGGCACCGCGTGAGTGGCACGACACACTGAGGACTACGCTTGCGGCTCTTGGGTTTGCTCCCTCTACTGCCGACCCGTCGCTGTTTCTGCGCACCGACACCTCTTTGCCGCCGTTCTACATCCTCGTGTACGTCGACGACTTGGTCTTTGCCACTGCTGACACTGCTGGACTCGCCCACGTGAAGTCCGAGCTGCAGAAGAGACACACGTGCACAGACCTGGGTGAACTGCGCAGCTACCTTGGCTTGCAGATCACCCGGGACAGAACACGCCGCACCATTACCCTGACTCAGTCACACATGGTGCAGCAGGTCCTTCAGCGCTTCGGCTTCACGTACTCCTCGCCTCAGGCCAATCCTCTGCCTACTCGCCACTCGCTCTCAGCTCTGCCTTCGGATGAGTCCGTAGAGTCGAGTGGCCCGTACTCAGAGCTTGTTGGCTGCCTCATGTACCTGATGACCTGCACACGACCTGACCTTGCATACCCTCTTAGCATTCTTGCACGCTATGTTGCTCCTGGGAGACACAGACCAGAGCACATGGCTGCAACGAAGAGGGTGTTGCGCTACTTGTGCAGTACGTCGGGCATGGGGCTAGTGCTTGGAGGGCACAGTCCAGTGGTCCTCACTGGGCACGCAGACGCTTCTTGGGCTGACGACCAGGCTACACAGCGATCGTCACAGGGTTACACCTTCAGCCTTGGTTCCGGCTCTGTTTCGTGGAGGGCTACTCGCTCGTCTTCCGTTCTCGGCTCTAGTTGTGAGGCTAAGATCTACGCAGGAGCTATGGCTGCTTTGGAGCTTCGTTGGCTCACCTACCTGCTGACTGACCTCGGAGAGCCGCCTCGTTCTCCTCCAGTGCTGTACGTAGACAACAAGGCCATGCTGGCCTTGTGTCAAGAGCGGCGCCTGGAGCACAGAACGAAGCACATTTCTCTTCGCTACTTTCTTGCTCGTGAGCTGCAGCAGCGTAGTCAGTTGCGACTTGCTTACGTGGCCTCTAAGGCCAACACTGCTGATATCTTCACTAAGGCACTTGCGCCTTGTGATCAACAGCGCTTCTGTACTCAGCTTGGTCTTGTGCCTGCCTTGTCTCACTTGCTCACTTCTTGACCTTGCTTGTACTGTCACATATATACTCATGCTCTTGCTTGTTTAGCCTTTTATATATATATGTGTGCTCTTGCATGTGAACTAGCCTTCTGGCCTTGAACTTGTGCTCGGAATGTGTGGTGACTTTGTGATCCACCCTGAGCTTGCTTTGCTTTGCTTGACTGGTCTTGTGACCCCTTGTTCTCCCCCACTTTGCCTATGGGGGTGTGTCAAATTATAATGTTGTGTAGGCTGTAGTGGGGTAGCCTATATGGGGTACACATTGCTAGGGTTGCATACTTGTATCACTTTCATTCTTCAGTCAATCATTCTCGTTCTAAATTTCTCACGAAGCGCTTAGGGAAACTCCATAGTCCTGATCCGTCAAAAAATGAAAACGCCATTTTATGTTGATAAATGGATATGAAGCATTTCCCAGCACGAGTTCGTCTGAAAGCCAACATTGCTGGCGCGCAACATTTCCTCAATATGACATGCCAGTGTCGAGTCGCTCTTATGACCGTTGCCAACATTGCTGCCAGAGCATTGAGGGATCGCAGATTGCTAGCTAATAAAAAGTGTCGGACACACTCGACATTGTCACATTCTTGCTCACTACTTCGCAAAGATTGTCACCTGTCTGACAACCCTATATTACCCAATCAACACACACCAGCCCTTCAGCCATCTGAATCGTTCACAAATTCATACATACGCTTCAACTGGCTATTCTCAACATGTCGTAGAAAATACGAACACCAGTTCTCGCAAAGCAGCATCAAGCAAGCGCCAGTCACTCACACTCGTGTCGGCAGAGTCCGGTTTGTTAGGTTGGATTGGATATCAACTCCAGTCTCCAAAAAATATGTCCAATAACCAGTGTCTATGGAGATACTGCCTCCAACACCTATTGCTCCAACAATCACGAAACTGTTAACTCAGCTTACCCGCACATTCCATAATATACCGTAGCCCCCCTCCCTCCCAACTCCACCCCCTTCCACCACACTCACTCCCACACATCCAATGTCCGGAACATCACATTCACCCTCTTCACCTCCCTCTGCTGCCATGAGTTCAGCACCTCTATCTGGTGCCTTCTCATATGCCCATCATTGATCAGAAAGTGCAGGTGCCGTGGGCTCAATCTCACGCCCACATGTGTGCCGCCCTCCACACCCCTCCCAATCCCACTCTCTGGAGGATCCCACGCTACATTCATTACCTGGTAACCACCAAACCAGATCCGATAAGTGAAATGCCAATCGGTGATAATCCCGCACTCACCCCGCGCCGACAGCCCCTCATCAAGCCCCCCTAATTCCAAAAACACATCCCGCCGCATCACAAACGGCGCAAAATCCACCACACCCGCGAAAAAACCCCGTAGGCTGGTTCGGGGGTCGTAGGACGGGTGGGTCCAGAGCCATCCCCCGAACCTGTACCAGGTGAGGGGAGCACCCCAGTTACTCCCATCCACGTCTATCTTCCCTGTCCTGTAGCCCAGTGCAGCGACTAGCGGCCGTGCGTCCATCTCATGGAGGATGCCCCACAGCCAGCTGCAGTCCCACAGCAGCAGGTCGTCGTCCTGTAACAGGGTTACCACGTTACTGCGGGCTGTTTTGGCGTGGGTGTTGAAGCCGCGGATCTCGTGCGAGTTGTGGTCGAAGGTGACCTGCAGGTGGAAGTATGGGTTTCCGGGACACTTGCTGCTGCTGCTTCTGCTGCCGCCACTGCTGCTGCTGCTGCTGCTTCTTGTGGTGCTGTTTCTTTTTGCACTGGCAGCGGCAAGAGCACCAGCAGCACCGGCAGAGGCAGCAGGGTCAGCAGGGTTGGTCAGCGGCTTCCTTCCACACCAGTACTCCCTCCATTCCCTCCACTCTTCAGGACTATCCGCATGCACTAGCATCTCCACCACCCTCACACTCCCTCCCTCCACCGCTCCCCCTTGCCGCCCAGCCTCCCCCTTCCTATCACCCCCAATTCCACCTGCCTCCCTTTTTCTCCTCCCCTTCCCCGTCCCCCAAGCCGTCGGAACCCAGGTGCAGTTATGGGGGCGGGCGAGCAGGTCAGCAATCATTCCAGGCTGGCGGAAGTACTGCAGGAGGAAGGAGACGGCAGGGGGCGGGGAGGGGAAGAGGTGGGGGGAGAGCCATGCGAGAGGGGAAGGAGATCTCAGCCCCATGCAGGTGCGAGCTGCCCTGCCCGTCTCCTGCCCACTGCACCACCTCGTGCTTCTACTGCTTGCCTGCTCGTTACCCTCCCCTTTCCTTCCCTCCATACGCCCCTCAATACTTCCCTCTTGCCTCTCATCCCCCCCCCGCCCCTCTTCCTTCTTCTTCTCCTCCAGCCCCAGTCCCTCTTCCCACGCCTCCCTCTCCCAGTCCCTCGCTCCCAGATCCAGCCTCTCTCGCCAGATTGCTCCACTCGGCCATTCTCAGCCGTAAGTCCCTCGCATCAACTCTGCACTGCCCCTGCAGCTGCTGCTGCAACCGCTGCAGGCCGTCTCTTGTAGCAGCCATGAGAGCCTTCAAGGGGTGCTCAGGAAGGGAGGCGAGTGACGGATTGGAGGAAGATGTGGAGGCAGAGGAGGAGGAGGAGGAGGAGGAGGAGGAGGAGGAGGAGGAGGAGGAGGAGGAGGAGGAGGAGGAGGAGGAGGGAGGAGGAGGAGGAGGAGGAGGAGGAGGAGGAGGAGGAGGAGGAGGAGGAGGAGGAGGAGGAGGAGGAGGAGGAGGGGGAGGAGGAGGGGGAGGAGGAGGAGGAGGAGGAGGAGGAGGAGGGGGAGGAGGAGGAGGAGGAGGAGGAGGAGGAGGAGGAGGAGGAGGAGGAGGAGGAGGAGGAGGAGGAGGAGGAGGAGGAGGAGGAGGAGGAGGAGGAGGAGTGGAGGGTGGAGGATGGGTGGAGCAGCGATTGTTGGTATTGCTGGTGAGCTGCATCAGGGAAGGGGATCACCAGGGGGGAAAGGGGAGGTAAGAGTAGGTCAGGAGAAATGAGACAGGAGTCGAGTGTGAGGAGACGAAGGGACGGAGGAATTTGAACGGATGGCACCAGAATGGAACAATGAATGCATGCAGAAATGGAACAATGGAAACTGTGAAATTAGTTTGGAACAATGAATGAATGCAGCAGACCACAATCAAATCAGACCACACCAGATCAAGGCCTAGAAGAGTGCAAAAGCGCTGATGGTCACAAGGCTGAAGCGCCTTGGTGAACACATCAGCAGTGTTGGCCTCAGAGGCCACGTAACGCAGGCGAAGCTGACCACGCTGCTGCAGCTCTCGAGCAAGGAAGTAACGCAGAGCAATGTGCTTCGTTCTGTGCTCCAGTCTGTGCTCCTCACACAAGGCAATGGCTGCCTTGTTGTCGACGTACAGCACTGGAGGAGAACGAGGCTGCTCTCCAAAGTCGGTCAGCAAGTAGGTGAGCCAGCGTAGCTCCTGGGCCGCCATGGCTGTGGCGTAGATCTCAGCCTCACAACTGGAGCTGAGAACAGAAGAAGAGCGAGTAGAACGCCAAGAAACAGAACCAGAGCCAAGACTGAAGGAGTAACCCTGAGACGACCGCTGAGTAGCCTGGTCGTCTGCCCAAGAAGCGTCTGAGTGCCCAGTGAGAACAACTGGGACTCGCCCTCCAAGCACTAGCCCCATGCCCGACGTACTGCACAAGTAGCGCAACACCCTCTTAGCTGCATCCATGTGCTCCTTCCGGTGACGGCCGGTTGCGACATAGCGTGCAAGAATGCTAAGAGGGTATGCAAGGTCAGGTCGAGTGCAGGTCATAAGGTACATGAGGCAACCCACAAGCTCTGGATACGGGCCACTCGGCTCTACGGACTCATCCGAAGGCAGAGCTGAGAGCGAGTGACCGGTAGGCAGAGGAGTGGGCTGAGGCGAGGAGTACATGAAGCGGAAGCGCTGAAGGACCTGCTGCACCATGTGTGACTGAGTCAAGGTGATGGTGCGGCGTGCTCTGTCCCGGGTGATCCGCAAGCCAAGATAGCTTGTCAGTTCACCCAGGTCTGTGCACGTGTGTCTCTTCTGCAGCTCGGACTTCACGTGGGCGAGTGCCACAGTGTCAGCAGTAGCAAGGACCAAGTCGTCGACGTACACAAGGACGTAGAACGGCGGCAGTGAGGTGTCGGTGCGTAGAAACAGCGATGGGTCAGCAGTAGAGGGTGCGAACCCAAGAGCCGCAAGCATAGTCCTCAGTGTGTCGTGCCACTCACGAGGCGCCTGGCGCAGACCGTAGACTGGCCGTCGGAGGCTCCACTGGGTACCAGGAGGGAACGACCCAGTGAAGCCAGGTGGACGGCGCAGCCAGATCTCCTCGTGCAGGCTGCCCTGCAGGAAAGCAGTGCTGAAGTCAAGCGAGTGGAGCTCGTAGTCACGCTTAGCGGCGACGTGCAGCAGAACCCGAAGAGTGGTCATCTTCGGGGTCGGGTAGAAGGTCTGGAAGAAGTCAACTCCCTCTCGCTGATTGAAGCCTCGTGCAACGTAACGCGCCTTGAAGACAGGCGGAGAGCCCGGCGGCCGCTTCACCCTGAAAATCCACATGCCACTGACGATGTTCGCCCCAGGTGGGGGAACCTCGTCGACTTAGTGTCAGAACATTATAGCTTATATATATTTGTGTAGGCTATAGTGGGGTATCCCATAGGGGGTACAACCCAATCTGGGTTTCCTATATGTACTCACTTCATTCATAGTTGATTCATTCTCTCGTTCACTTCTTCTCATGGTATCGAGCAGGTTCCCTTGTGGGAACTATGCTTAGGGCCCACCACTTCGAAAACTTTTTTTTCTTGCCCTAGCGCCCACCCTAGCGCCCGCCCTAGCGCCCTAGCGCCCGCCCTAGCGCCGCCCTAGCGCCCGCCCTAGTGCCCGCCCTAGCGCCCGCCCTAGCGCTCGCCCTAGCGCCCTAGCGCCCGGCGCCCGCCCTAGCACCCGTGAGCCGCCGCCCGTGAGCCGCCGCCCGTGCGTCGTTGCCCGTGAGCCGCCGCCCGTAAGCCGCCGCCCGTGAGCCGCCGCTTGTGCGCGGCCAGTGGCCCGCCCGTACGCCGCCTGCCTGTGCGCCGCCCGTCCGTGAGCCGGCGCCGCTCGTGAGCCGCCGCCTTTGAGCCGCCCACCCGCGCGCCGCCCGCCCGTGAGTCGGCGCCGCCCGTGAGCCGCCCGCCCGTGCGCCACCAGCCCGCCCGTGAGCCGCCGGCGCCGCCCGTGCGCCGCCCGCCCGTGAGCCGCCTCTAAGCCGCCCGTCCGCGCGCCACCCGTCCGCCCGTGAGCCGCCTGCGTCAAACGTGCGCAGCCCGCGAGCCTCCCGCGAGCAGCCCGCGAGCCGCCGCAGCCGCCCGTGCAGCCGCCCCAGCCGCCCGTGAGCCGCCCCGGCCATCCGTGCAGCCGCCCGTGAGCCGCCCGCGAGCCGCCCCAGCCGCCCGTGCAGCCGCCCGTGAGCCGCCGGCGAGCCGCCCCAGCCGCCCGCGAGCCGCCCGTGAACCGCCCCAGCCGCTCGTGCAGTCACCCGTGAGCCGCCCGCGAGCCGCCTGAGCCGCCCAAGCCGCCTGAGCCGCCCGAGCAGCCCGAGCCGCCCGCACCGCCCGAGCCGCCCGAGCCGCTCGAGCAGCCTGAGGTGCCGAGCTCCTGCTCCTGTGGGGCTGCTGCTGCTCCTGGGCCGACGCAGCTGCTGTACTGCTGAGCTACCCGACTCTTCCTGCCCGGTGAGACTGTCAGCTGCTATAATGGCCACCCCCAGTGTCTTGGCTTTTGACGCTGAGGGTCGCGCCATTGACTTTGCAGTCTGGGTCGAGGATCTGCAGCTGTACTTACTGTGCGATGCGATAGATGAGGTTTCTCTCTTTGACTTTGTCTCTGGCGCTGTCCCTGCCCCTCCTGCTGATGCTGACCCCACTGTTCGCTCCAAGTGGGCCATACGCGATGCTGCTGCGCGTCTTGCTGTGCGTCGCCTCCTCCCTTCCTCCGAGCGTGCACACTTTAGTCAGTGCAAGACCGCTCAGGCCTTGTACGACGCTGTAGTTGCGCGCTACTCCTCCCCTTCCTCCGCTACGCTGAGCCGCCTCATGCTACCGTACCTCTTCCATGACCTCGCTGCCTTTCCCACAGTCGCTGACCTCTTTGCCCACCTCCGCGCTAGTGACACTCGCTACCGCGCTGCGCTTTCTGCTGACTTCTGCGCCGCAAACCCTCCTCCCATGTACATCACTCTCTACTTTCTCGTCACCCGTCTCCCTGAGTCCCTTCGTGTCGTTGAGGACCAGTTTCTCTATGTCTGTCCCACCACCCTCACTGTCGACCTCCTTGAGAAGTCCCTGCTAGCGGCCGAGAAGAGTATAGTCGCTGTAGGGGCCTCTCGTGGTGACCCTCGCACCCCCATCTTTGAGGGGTGTTCTCCCTCCCCCCTGTTACCCTCTGTCGCCTCTGTTGCTGCGGCCGACCTCGTTGGTTTGGAGTCGGTCGGTGCGGCGTCTGCCCCCAGCGGTAGGCGCCGCTCTGGCAGGGACAAGGGGGGCAAGGGAGCGGGTGGAGCTAGCGGGGGCGGTGGCGGAGGAGGTGGGGGTGGCGGGGGGAGTGGGGGTGGCGGTGGAGGTGGTGGCGGGAGTGGAGGTACTAGTGGCGGCAGTGGAGGCGGAGGTGGTGGCGGAGGTGGCGGTGGGAGCGGCGGGGGCGAGGGTGGCGGTGGCGGTGGAGCCGGCGGAGGCGGGGGCGGCGGTGGTGGAGGTGGTCGGAGTGGCTCGTCCCAGCGAAGCAGCACTGGGGGTGGTCAGCGCCAGCAGTAGCAGCAGCAACGCTCTCGCGTCGTCCCCGCCCCTCAGCAGCTCCGTGAGTGGTACTCGCAGCGTCAGCGTGGTGGGGCGTTTGGTCCCTGCTACTACGTTCTTCGCACCGGCGATTGCGCGGGTGAGCAGTGTGGGGGCACCCACACCGCCCGCCGCTGCTTTGGCCGCCTGACAGACGCTTGGCGCCAGCAGTTTCCGAAGGCCTCTGAGATCCCCCGCTGGGGAGAGCTGTCTAGGGCTGGAGTAGCTATTTTTGATCTTGACTTTGATGCTATCCTTGCTGCTATGTATGCTGTGACTGTTAGTGATGAGGGTGACTGTTACCGGTGTTTCCCGCCCGACCCGGGCATTGGTACTGCTGCTCTAGGTGCCAGTGAGGCTGCTGCTCTAGGTGCCAGTGAGGCTGCTGCTCTTGGTGCCAGTGCGTCTGTACTCTCAGGTACTGGTGAGTCTGCGCTCTCAGGTACTGTGTCGACTTCGGCCTCTCACACCTTCACCCTGGACTCTGGGGCCTCTCGCTCCTTCTTTTGGGACCGCACCACTCTCACGCCGCTTAGTCGGCTGGTTGCGGTGTCCCTGGCTGACCCCTCTGGGGGTCCTGTCCTTTCTCGCTTCTCCACAGTCCTCCCATGTCCGGCGGCTCCTTCTGGCACCCTGTCTGGTCTCTACCTCCCCTCGTTCTCTACGAACCTGGTGAGTGGTGCTGACCTACAGGATGTGGGTGTCCACCAGTTCACTCCTGCTCGTCAGCGGGTGACACACTGCACAGTGGCTAGCACAGGTCGCCACCTGGCTACGTTTACACGTCAGCCAGGGTCGAGCCTGTACACACTGACCACTGCTTCTCCTCCAGGTGCTGAGTCTGGTAGGGTCCCTTCGTCTGGTCAGGTGTTTGCTGCAGCGTCCAGGTCTGGTCCAGAGTCTGCCCCCTGTTCGTGTCGCCGTCTGTCTCACGAGACCCTCCTCTGGCACCACTGCCTTGGCCACCCCTCTCTGCTTCGGCTCAGAGGCATGGCCTCCCGTCTTCTTGTGTCTGGTCTCCCCCGGTCCCTCCCTCCCCTTCCTCACGGCCCTGGCCCTGCCTGTGTCCCCTGTGTCGAGGGGCGCCAGCGTGCTGCCCCTCACTCCTCCCAGTTTCCTCCGACAGAGGCCCCGTTGCAGACGCTTCACATGGACGTGTGGGGCCCAGTCCACGTCCGTGGACAGGGTCAGGAGCGCTACTTCCTCCTCGTTGTTGACGACTACTCGCGTTACACCACAGTCTTCCCCTTGCGCAGCAAGGGTGATGTCACTGAGGTGCTGATCCACTGGATCCGCGCAGCTCGTCTCCAGCTCCGGCAGAGCTTTGGCTCGGACCTTCCTGTTTTGCGTCTGCACTCTAACAGAGGCGGAGAGTTCTCCTCTGGCCTTCTGCATGCCTACTGCCGTGCGCGAGGCATCCATCAGACCTTCACGCTTCCGGACTCACCACTGAAAAATGGGATTGCAGAGCGCCGCATTGGCATGGTCATGGACGTCGCTCGTACGTCCATGATGCATGCGGCAGCCCCCCATTTTCTGTGGCCGTTTGCGGTCAGGTACGCGGCGCATCAGATCAACCTCCACCCCAGGGTCTCCAGGCTGGAGACCTCCCCAGCCCTGCTGTGGACGGGGAAGGTTGGCGATGCGTCGGCGTTCCGGGTCTGGGGATCTCGGGCGTTTGTCCGCGACTTGGCTGCGGACAAGCTGTCCCCTCACGCTGCTCCCTGTGTCTTCCTGGGGTTCCCCCCCGACGCCCCTGGGTGGCAGTTCTACCACCCCACCTCTCGCCGTGTTCTGTCCTCCCAGGACGTCACGTTCGACGAGTCGGTACCCTACTACCGCCTCTTCCCCTACCGCACTCCGTCCCTCCCCCCGCCCCCGCTTTTTCTTGTCCCATGTCCCCCCCCGTTAGACCGCCTCCCCCCTCAGGGTCCTGCCCCGTCAGGTGTGTCCAAGGTCGACGCCGTCGAGCCTGTTGAGGTCACTGGTGACTCTGGTGCTGCTGGTGGTGCTGAGCTTGGGGGTGCTGAGCCAAGGGGTGCTGAGCCTGGGGGTGCGGAGCCTGGGGGTGCTGAGCCTGGAGGTTCTGAGTCTGGGGGTGCTGAGCCTGGGGGTGCGGAGCCTGGGGGTACTGAGCCTAGGGGTGCTGAGCCTGGGGGCTCTCTCGGTCCTTCGTCTCGCCGGGAGCCACTCTCTACACAGTAGCTGCGCGAGTGTTTTGCCCGGCGCTAAAGCCGTACTGCTGGTGCTGGAGGTTCGTCGGCTCCTGAGGGTGCTACTGTCGCAGGTCCCGGAGGTGCTCGTCCTAGGAGTACTGGAGCTGCTCGACCTGCGGTTTCGACTGGAGCTGGTGTTCCTGAGGGTGTTGGCGCTGAGACTACCACTGGCGGTCCGGCTGGCGGTGCTTCTGGTGCTCCTCGTGGTTCTGGGGTTGCTGGAGGTGCTGCTGGGGGTTCTAGAGCTGCTGGAGGTGCTGCTAGAGGTGCTGCTGGCGCGGGTACTCCTGCTCGGGGTACTGGTCCTGTCCCTGCTGTTTCTGGCGTCGCCGCGCGGCCCCGGCCGTACTTCGTTCCACTCCTGCAGCAGGTTCTTGGTCTTACACCTTCTCCTGGTCCTCCTCCTCCTCCCTTAGAGGGTCTACAGCCTGTCCAGTCACAGTCACAGCTCCAGCCTGCCTCCCCTTTGCCTGCTCGTTCTCCCTACGCTGGTCCTACTGGAGGTCTTACTGAGCGTCGTGAGCCTGCGTCTCATCCTGCGTCGCCTATTCGTGCTGCGCGCACTAGTGGTCGCGGTTCGCGTCAGCGTCCTCCTCCTGTCCCTGGCACGCACCGGATGTCCCTGCGTCCGACCACTGCTCCTCTGCGTGCCCCTTTGCCTTCTCCTCCTGCGTTCTCTCTTCCTGCTCTCGCCGACCCTGCGTCGGACTCTCTTCGTGCTGCCAGTTCTTCTTTCACGCGTCTCCTTGCTACTGCCGTCACTGACCCTTCCTTCGAGTCCACTGCTGCGTCTGCCCTTGTTACTGAGCTCGTCGACTTTGCTGATCGCTGTCGTCTAGACTACGCTGCTAGTCTTGTCGCTGAGTCCGAGTCCGCCTGTCCTCCGTCCATCGGGGGTGAGTGTGCCCTTGGCACGGACGTCCTTGAGGACAGGCAGGAGGAGTTCCAGTGCCTGGCAGCCGCTTCACCTCATCTCGTGTTCGTACTGCTCACCCCTGAGGGAGACCCGGATGCACTTGACATCCCGACTCCACGCTCTTACGCGGAGGCGATAGAGGGTCCCTACTCCTCTCAGAGGCAGGCAGCTATGGAAGCTGAGATGGCTTCCTGGAAGTCCACAGGCACCTACGTTGACGCTGTTCCCCCTCCTGGGGCGAACATCGTCAGTGGCATGTGGATCTTCAGGGTGAAGCGGCCGCCGGGTTCTCCGCCTGTCTTCAAGGCGCGTTATGTGGCTCGTGGTTTTAGACAGCGGCAAGGAGTTGACTTCTTTCAGACCTTCTCCCCGACCCCGAAGATGACCACTCTTCAGGTACTACTGCACGTCGCCGCTCACCGTGACTACGAGCTGCACTCTCTCGACTTCAGCACTGCTTTCTTGCAGGGCAGCCTGCACGAGGAGATCTGGCTGCGCCGCCCTCCTGGCTTCACTGGGTCTTTCCCTCCTGGTACACAGTGGAGCCTCCGGCGTCCAGTCTACGGTCTCCGCTAGGCGCCGCGTGAGTGGCACGACACACTGAGGACTACGCTTGCGGCTCTTGGGTTTGCTCCTTCTACTGCCGACCCGTCGCTGTTTCTGCGCACCGACACTTCTCTGCTGCCCTTCTACATCCTCGTGTACGTCGACGACTTGGTCTTTGCCACTGCTGACACTTCTGGACTCGCCTACGTGAAGTCAGAGCTGCAGAAGAGACACACGTGCACTGACTTTGGTGAGCTTCGCAGCTACCTTGGCTTGCAGATCACCCGGGACAGAGCACGCCGCACCATCACCCTGACTCAGTCACACATGGTGCAGCAGGTCCTTCAGCGCTTCGGCTTCACATATTCCTCGCCTCAGGCCACTCCTCTGCCTACTTGCCACTCGCTCTCAGCTCTGCCTTCGGATGAGTCCATAGAGTCGAGTGGCCCGTATCCAGAGCTTGTCAGCTGCCTCATGTACCTGATGACCTGCACACGACCTGACCTTGCATACCCTCTTAGCATTTTTGCACGCTATGTTGCTCCTGGGAGACACCGACCAGAGCACATGGCTGCATCGAAGAGGGTGTTGCGCTACTTGTGCAGTACGTCGGGCATGGGGCTAGTGCTTGGAGGGCGCAGTCCAATGGTCCTCACTGGGCACGCAGACGCTTCTTGGGCTGACGACCAGGCTACGCAGCGGTCGTCACAGGGTTACACCTTCAGTCTTGGTTCCGGCTCTGTTTCGTGGCGGGCTACCCGCTCGTCTTCTGTTCTCGGCTCCAGTTGTGAGGCTGAGATCTACGCCGGGGCTATGGCTGCCTAGGAGCTTCGCTGGCTTACCTACCTGCTTACCGACCTTGGAGAGCCGCCTCGTTCTCCTCCAGTCCTGTACGTAGACAACAAGGCCATGCTGGCCTTGTGTCGAGAGCAGCGACTGGAGCACAGGACAGAGCACATTGCTCTCCGTTACTTTCTTGCTCGTGAGCTACAGCAGCGTGGACAGTTGCGGCTTGCGTACGTGGCTTCTAAGGCCAACACTGCTGATGTCTTCACCAAGGCACTTGCGCCTTGTGATCATCAGCGCTTCTGTACTCAGCTGGGTCTTGTGCCTGTCTTGCCTCACTTGCTCTCTTCTTGACCTTGCTTGTACTGTCACATATATATACTCTTGCTCTTGCTTGCTTAGCCTCTTGCCTATATATATATGCAATCTTGCATGTGAACTGGCCTTTTGGCCTTTGAACTTGTGCTCGGAATGTGTGGTGACTTTGTGATCCACCCTGAGCTTTGCTTTGCTTTGCTTGACTGGTCTTGTGACCCCTTGTTCTCCCCCACTTTGCCTATGGGGGTGTGTCAGAACATTATAGCTTATATATATTTGTGTAGGCTATAGTGGTGTATCCCATAGGGGGTACAACCCAATCTGGGTTTCCTATATGTACTCACTTCATTCATAGTTGATTCATTCTCTCGTTCACTTCTTCTCACGTAGGTGCCTGTGGACTTCCAGGAAGCCATCTCTGTGTCCATGGCTGACTGCCACTGAGAGGAGTAGGGACCGGCCATCGCCTCTGCTTAAGAGCGTGGGGTCGGGATGTCTGGTGCATCCGGGTCTCCCTCAGGGGCAACAAGCATGGACACGAGATGGGGCAAAGCGTCAGTAAAGCACTCAAACTCCTCCTACCTGTCCTCAAGGACGTCAGTGCCAAGAGCACACTCACCCCCGACGGACGGAGGACAGACAGACTCAGACTCAGCAACTAGGCTAGCAGCGTAGTCTAGACGACAGCGAACAGCAAAGTCGACAAGCTCAGCAACTAAGGCGGACTCAGCAGCAGACTCAAAGGAAGGGTCAGTGACAACAGTAGCCAGGAGACGCGTGACAGTAGGACTGGCAGTACGAAGAGAGTCTGACCCAGGGTCAGCAAGAGAAGGAAGAGAAGAAGTGGGAGGAGACGGCAGTGGGACACGCTGTGGAGCAGTGGACGGACGAAGCGCCATCCGGTGAGTGCCTGGGACAACAGGAAGACTCTGACGCTGGACATGACTGCTAGAGAGAGCAGTGCGGACAGGTGACGCAAGGCGAGACTCAGGCTCACGACGCTTAGTAAGACCTCCAGTCGGACCAGTGTAAGGAGAAGGACCAGGGAGAGAGGAGGCAGACGGTAGCTGCGACTGCAGCTGGACAGACGGAGGACACGCTAAGGAGAGAGGAGGACAAGGAGGAGGGAGCTGACCAAGAACCTGCTGAAGGAGCGGAACGAAGTACGGCCGGGACCGAGCAGCGACACCAGAGTCAGCAGGAACACTCACCCCAGGGTCCGCAGCAGCAGCGGCAGCTCCACCACCCGGGTCCTCAGCACCAGCAGCAGCTCCAACGCCCGGGTCTGCAGCACCAGCGGCATCTCCAACGCCCGGGTCCTCAGCACCAGCAACAGCTCCAACTCCCGGGTCCGCAGCAACAGCGGCAGCTCCAACGCCCGGGTCCTCAGCACCAACAGCAGCTCCAACGCCCGGGTCTACAGTACCAGCGGCATCTCCAACGCCAGTGGGGTCCACAACACGAGGCACGCCACTCCGAAGAGTGCAACGCCGCTCGTACTACTCACGGATCCGCTCGCGGGAGGGGAGCTCCCTAACGGGAGAAGAAGCACTAGTACCAGTCCAAGCAGTACGTCCAGCACGAGTGGCACCTCTCCAAAGGCTGCAGTACTCTAAGTACCACGTACGCAGCTGCTCCGAGGAGAGGGCTCCTCCAGGAGTAGGACTCACAGGGCCAGTACCTCCAGACCCAGAACCCCCAGACTCGAGACTCTGCGGCTCAGCACCACGAGGCTCCACACCCCCAGGCTCCACACCCCCAGGCTCCACACCCCCAGGCTCAGCACCCCCAGGCTCCACACCCCTAGGCTCAGCACCCCCAGCAGGACGAGAGTCGACAGCTACCTCAACAGGCTTAACCGGGTCTACCTGAGACACACCTGAGGGAGCGGCACCCTGAGGGGGGAGGGGGTCTGCAACAGTAGCACCTGGCGCGAGGAAGAGAGGCGGTGGGGGAAGCGGGGCAGTGCGGTAGGGGAAGAGGCGGTAGTACGGGACGGACTCGTCAAAAGTGACGTCCTGGGAGGGCAAGACTCGGCGCGAGGTGGCGTGGTAAAACTGCCAACCAGACGCGTCCGGGACAAAGCCGAGGAAGACGCAAGGAACAGCACGGGAGGAGAGCTTGTCCGAAGACGAATCGCGGACAAAAGCTTGAGACCCCCAGACCCGGAAACGCGACGCATCGCCAACCTCCCCCGTCCACAGCAGCGTGGGCGAGGTCTCCGGCAAGGAGACACGGGGCCAGAGGTTGAGCTGGTGCGCAGCGTACCGGACCGCAAACGGCCACAGAAAGTGGGGGGCAGTCGCATGGATCAAGGAGGTACGAGCGACCTCCATGACCAGGCCAATGCGGCGCTCCGCAACCCCATTTTGCTGTGGAGAGGCCGGAAGCGTGAAAGACTTCTCAATGTCGTGCTCAGCACAGTAGGCTGCCAAGAGGTCGGAGGAGAACTCACCACCTCTGTCAGAGTGCAAGCGCAGGACAGGAAAGTCCGAGTGAAAACGCTCGCTGAGCTGGAGACGGGCTCTGCGGATCCAAGGGATCAAGACATCAGGGACCTCACCCTTGGTGCGCAAGGGGAAGACCGTGGTGTAGCGCGAGTAGTCGTCAACAACTATCAGGAAGTACCTCTCCTGACCCTGACCACGGACGCGGGCTGGGCCCTACACGTCCATGTGGAGTGTCTGCAAGGGAGCAGTCGTCGGGGGGAACGAGGAGGAGTGAGGAGCGGCGCGCTGCCGTCCCTCGACACAGGGGAGACAGGTAGGAGCAGGCGAGGGTGGGAGGGCAGGAAGGACCCTGGGCAGGCCAGAGACAAGGTACCGGGAGTGCATGGCACGAAGCCGCTGCACAGACGGGTGGCCAAGGCGGTGGTGCCAGAAGACAGTCTCGTGTGCCAAAGAGCGGCACGAGCAGGGGGCGGACAGCTGACCTGACGCGGACGCGGACGCAGTCGTAGCAACCTGAGGGGACGCAGTAGTCAGTGTGTACAGGTCCGACCCCGGCTGCCGAGTGAAGGTAGCCAAGTGACGGCCCGTACGAGCACACGTGCAGTGTGTCACGCGCTCGTCGGCTGGGGTGAACTGGTGAACACCCCCGTCCTAGAGATCACATCCTGCCACCAAGTTCGTAGAGAACGAGGGGAGGTGGAGACCTGACAGTGTCCCCGACGGGACCGCAGGGCAGGGAAGGACAGTAGAAGAGGTCGCAATGACCAGACCCCCAGAGGGGTCAGCAAGCGTTACAGCAACTGACCGAGCAAGCGGCTCAAGGGCAGTGCGGTCACAAAAGAAGCAGCGAGAAGCACCTGAGTCCAGTGTGAAGGTGTGCAGTGCGGCAGTCGACGCAGTACCAGGGGGGGGAGACACACGAGCACCTAGAGCAGCAGCCTCACCAGCACCTCGGGTAGCCGACACGCGAGTACCTGGAGCGGCAGACGCACTGGCCCTAATGCCCGGGTCGGGCGGCACACACAAGTACTCGGCACCCTCTCCACTAGTAGACATCACATACATGGCAGATAGAATAGCATCAAAGTCTAGAGCATAGATATCAATCCCCTTCTTCAGGAGATCAAGCCAGCGGGGCAGCTCAGTGGCCCGAGGGAACTGAACACGCCAAGCGTCGTCGAGACGAGAGAAACAGCGCTGTGTGGCGTGCGGTCGTCCACACTGCTGACCAGTGCGGTCACCAGTGCGAATGACGTACGTGCAGCTAAGACCACCCCCACCCCCGTGCTGAGAGTACCACTCACGGACCTCCTGGGGCGAGGGAGTGTGCTGCTGGCCCTGGCCACCGCCAGTGCCTCCACGGCCACCACCACCGCTGCCGCCTCCTCGACCACCCCAACCCCTGCCGCCGCCTCGTCCACCGCCACCCCAACCGCCGCCTCCACTCCTGCCACCTCCCCCGCCGCCGCCGCCACCACCCCCACCGCTACCACTCGCCCCTCCAGCCGAGCCACCACCCCCACTGCCTCCACCGCCCCCACCGCCGCCTCCCCCGCCGTCACTGCTACCACCCTTGCCCCCCTTGCCCTTGCCGCTGCGGCGCCCGCTCGAGGCAGACGCAGCGCCGACCTTCTCAGCACCGAGAAGGTCGACAGCAGCAGCAGAGGCGACAGAGGGAAGAAGGGGGGAAGGAGAACACCCCTCAAAGAACGGGGTACGGGGGTCGCCACAAGAGGCACCTACAGCGACTATGCTAGTCTCAGCTGCAAGGACCTCCTTCTCGAGGAGGGCAATGGTGAGCTCAGTGGGGCAACGAGCTAGGAAGTGGTCCCTCACAGCACGCAGTGTGTCAGGGAGGCGGGTGACTAGGTGGTAGAGAGTGAGCCAGAGTGGAGGGGGGTGCGTGGTAAGGAACTCAGCAGGCATGGCGGCACGGAAGCGGGCCTCACTAGTGCGGAGGTGCGTGATGAGGTCAGCGACTGTGTGAAAAGAGGCCAGGTCGGGAAACAGGTAGGGGAGGGAGAGACGGCCTAGTGCGGCAGAGGCAGGTGAGGAGTAGCGAGCAACTACAGCGGTGTACAGTGCCTGTGCAGTCTTGTGCTGGCCAAAGTGCTCGCGTTCGTCTATCGGCAGGGAGTTGCGAATGGCGAAGCGAGCGTGGGCATCACGAGTCTGCCACTGTGAGCGAGCAGTGCTGTCAGCAGTAGCAGCAAGGGCAGTGACATGGCCTAGGGCGTGATCGTACAGTGAGATGTCATCCTTGGCTGTGAGCTGTAGGAAGAGGTGCAGGTCATCGAGCCAGGTGTCAAACTTCACAGGGCGGCCCTCAGCATCGAACACGAGAACCTGTGGGCTAGCCATAGGAACAGTAGAATAGCAGCAGTAGCAGTAACAATAGCAGTAGCAGAAGCAGTAGCAGTAGCAGAAGCAGTAGCAGTAGCAGAAGCAGGTAGGACGAACCAGGTAGGGCAGGGCGGCGCGGCTCGGTTCAGGTCGGGTCGCGACTCGGCTGGGTGGCGCGGCTCGGTTCAGGGCGCGCGGCTCGGCTCGGGGCGCGCGGCTCGGCTCGGGGCGCGCGGCTCGGCTCGGCGGGGACGGGCTGCCCGGTCTCCCTCGTGTGCTGCGGCGGGAACGGGCCGCCCGGGGCCTGTAGGTGGTGGGCACGGGGCCGATCGAGGCCTGAGCGGGGCTAGCGCGGGGCCAACCGGGGCCTTGACGGGGCCTGAACGGGACTAGTGCGGGGCCGACGGGGCCTGAGACGGAGCCGACGGGGCCTGAAGCGGGGCTAGTGCGGGCCCGATCGGGGCCTGAATGGGGCTAGCGCGGGGCCGACGGGGCCTGAGAGGGGCTAGCGCGGTGCCGACGGGGCCTTAAACGGGGCTAGCGCGGGCCGACGGGGCCTGAGAGGGGCTAGTGTGGGGCCGACGGGGCCTGAAACGGGGCTAGCACGGGCCGACGGGGCCTGAGAGGGGCTAGCGCGGGGCCGACGGGGCCTAAGACGGGGCTAGCACGGGCCGACGGGGCCGACGGGGCCTAAGACGGGGCTAGCGCGGGGCCGACGGGGCCTAAGACGGGGCTAGCGCGGGCCGACGGGGCCTGAAACGGGGCTAGCGCGGGCCGACGGGGCCTGAGAGAGGCTAGCGCGGGGGCGGCGGGGTCTGAATGGGGCTAGCGCGAGGCCGTCAAGAGGGGCCTCTAGGGGCGTGACACGCCGAGGCGCTCTAGGGCACAGGTAGGTAGGTAGGTAGGTAGTTACGTAGTGGTGGGCCCTTAGAAAATTTCGGTCCTAGGAAGGACCTGCTCTATACCATGTTGGAATAACTGAACAGGAATGAATGAACTAGCAGTGAAATGAGTACAAGTACCTAACCCTATAGGCTAACCCACTGTAGCCTAAACTAACACAACATATATAATGTTTGACAGCTACCACCAGCCGAGCCGCCAAGCCGCCCAGGAGCCGAGCCGCCGAGTCGCCCTGCCGGCGAGCCGCCCGAGCCGCCCTGTCCGGTAAGAGCAGCGCCTCTGTCACTGCACTGCCCTCACCCTACTATTCCCGCTGCTAGTCTACTGCTGTCATGGCTACCCCTATTGTCCTCGCTTTTGACGCTGAGGGTAGGGCCATTGACTTTTACGTCTGGGTAGATGACCTGCAGCTGTTCTTACAGTGCGATAGGACAAACGGCCTCTCCCTCTTTGACCTCACTTCATGTGCCTCTCCTGCCCCCGCTGCTGATGCTGACGCCACTGTTTGCTCACAGTGGGCCACACGCGATGCTACTGCACGTCTTGCTGTGCGTCGCCACCTGCCTACCTCTGAGCGTGCGCACTTTAGTCAGTACAAGAGTGCTCAAACCTTGTACGACGCTGTAGTTGCACGCTACTCCTCCCCTGCCACTGCCGCACTGAGCCGCCTCATGCTACCGTACCTCTTTCCTGACCTTCCTACCTTTCCCACAGTCACTGACCTCATTACGCTCCTCCGCACTAGTGACACTCGCTACAGCGCTGAGCTTCCTGCTGAGTTCTGCGCCAAGAACCCCCCCCCCCCATGTACATCACCCTCTACTACATAGTCGCCCGTCTCCCTAACTCCCTCCGCATAGTCAGGGACCACTGTCTCTCTGTTTGCCCCACCACTCTCACCGTTGACCTCCTCGACAAGGCCCTCCTAGCAGCAGAGAAGAGCATAGTAGCTGTAGGAGCCTCTCCTGGTGACCCTCGCACCCCCGTCTTTGAGGGGTGTTCTCCCTCCCCCCTCTTGCCCTCTGTTGCTTCTGCTGCTACGGCCGACCTCGTTGGTTTTGAGTCAGTCGGCGCGGCGTCTGCCCCCTCAGGGAAGCGCCGCACAGGCAAGGGCAAGGGGGGCAAGGGCGCTGGAGGAGTTGGCGGGGGCGGTGGAGGCGGCGGAGGGGGTGGGGGTGGTAGTGGGAGTGGTGGCGGGGGTGGAGGTGCCGGTGGCAGCAGTGGAGGCGGCGGAGGCGGCGGTGGTGGCGGAGGGAGCGGAGGCGGCGGTGGTGGCGGAGGCGGCGGAGGCGGCGGAGGTGGCGGTGGAGCTGGTCGCAGCTCTACGCAGAGGAGTGGCTCCGGTGGTGGTCTGCGCCAGCAGCAGCAGCGCGGTCGTGAGACCCTGTCCCCTCAGCAGCTTCGTCAGTGGTACGCTGGGCGTCAGCGGGGTGGGGTTACTGGCCCGTGCACCTACGTCCTACGCACCGGTGACCGCGCGGGTGAGCAGTGCGGGGGTGCGCACTCCACCCAGCGCTGCTTTGGCCGCCTGACGGACGCTTAGCGTCACCAGTTCCCTGAGGCCACGGAGATCCCTCGCTGGGGCGAGCTGTCTAGGGCTGGAGTAGCTATCTTTGACCTTGACTTTGATGCTATTCTTGCTGCCATGTATGCTGTGACTATTAGTGATGAGGGTGACTGTTACCGGTGCTTTCCGCCCGACCCGGGCATTGAGACTGCTGCTCTAGGTACTGGTGAGGCTGCTGCTCTTGGCGCTAGCGAGGCTGCTGCTCTAGGTGCTAGTGCGTTTGCTTCCTCAGGTACTGGTGAGTCTGCTCTCTCAGGTACTGCGTAGGCTTCGGCCTCCCTCACCTTCACCCTTGACTCGGGGGCTTCTCGCTCCTTCTTTCGAGACCGCACCACACTCACGCCGCTTAGTCGGCCAGTTGCAGTCTCTCTGGCGGACCCCTCTGGGGGTCCTGTCCTTGCTCACTTCTCCA